TCTTTTTTTTCATACATAATTAGATATTTAATCCTATTTAAATGGTATGAAATTTTTTTATACATTAGGTATTTAGAATCTTTAATCATTTTAAAAATATTTAAAAACTTTAAACATTACACCAAAATTTACTATAATGATTATTATTTAATAACAATAAATAATTACCTCTATTTTATTATCTAATAAAAGTACTAATGGCTAATAAATAATAGTTTTTAACAGTGATTATTAAAAATAACTGATAAAAAATAAGAGTAATTTTTAATTCATTTTATTAGAAAAAATTTAAGTCTCACATCAACTAAAGATAAGATAATTAAAGTGTATATAAATAAAGGATAATTCTCACTTTATAAATTAGTTTTGTAGAATTGAGTTAATCTTATACCTCATTATTCTAAGATGGTATAATCATCCATCATTTTATTCATGAACTCAATATAAGTAGAGAACAATCTTCACCTTACAAATAATTAAAGAGAATATAAACTAAAATTTATTTCTTAAACCTTTAGTAATAATAATAATAAAATATATATAAAATGTCAGTAATTCTGCGGCTATTTTATTATCACTAAAAAAATATTAAATACTATTAAAACTCTATTGTATTGTAATGAAAGTATGAAACAAAACATTATGTATTATTGACTATACAAAAATAGAAAAATAAAAAAAAAACATTTAATCTTATTTAAACGATATGTAATTTCAATATACAACAAATATTTCATACAATATTTTATCATTTTAATAATATTTAAAAAATTTAATCATAATATTAAGTAGTTGACTGTAAATCTGTAGTTACATAAGGTAAGATCAGTTATAAACCCATAAAAAGAATAATGCACCAAAAAATAATTTATCTTTTACTCTCTTTATTTGATAAGATAAGATTAGTTTAGCGGTTGAACTTTTTATATAATTTATATATATAAAAATAATTTATCTTTATGTTTTAGTTCAGAAAAACATATTTTATCTTTTAGTTAAGATAAGATTATTAGATTGTGGGTACACATGTTATAAGTCAAAAAAACTTAATAATACGTATATATTATATACAAATTTATCATGATATTCAAGTATTTGGTTCATTTTTTCATACAAGATTTTGGGTAGAGCTGTCAAAATGGGCCAGTCTGGCTCATGTGGCTGGCTTACCTTGACCCACTTTAAAAATGAGCCAACCTAACTTGGCTTACTTTTGATTTTCTAAAAAAAAATTGGTCCGGCCCGGCCCACCATGGGTTGGTGGGTTATACGGGCCACCCCACCAGCCCACCAAAATTTTTTTAAAAAAATTATCAACAAAATTCAAAATTTTAAATTAATTATAAATTAACATAATAGTCATAAAATTAGCATCATTAATAGTCATAAGTCATAATTCATCATACAAAATTAAATATAAATCATGATAAAAGTCCAAAATAAAAATTTTCAATATCCCATCATACAAAATTAACTACAAATTATACTTAAATTTTTATTACAAAAAAAATTGGTGGGTTGGTGGGCTACCCGGCCCACCACGGGTTCAACTCGAGTGAGCCGGGTCAAAGTAGGCCGCGTTGAGATATACCCACCTACTATAAAATTTTAATTTTTTTGGCCCGGCCCGGCCCATTTTCAAGGTGGACCGGGTTGGCCCACGGGCCCCAACCCACTTTGACAGCTCTAGTTTTGGGTTTCAACTTCTATGAGTATTTGCCCATCACCCTATTTTTGTCCCTTGTCCGATGATCATAACGCCACCATTTGTATTAGATATCAATCGACCCTCTTTAGTTTTGAAACCTACAACTGAATTATAGGAAGACACGATAAGAGTGTAAGCCAGTCGAGTTGCTAAGGTTGGATTTTAAAAAAAATATTACACAAATCTATTTTAATCTAATTTATTAAATCTTGATCAAATTGAGTAATCAATTCAACCTAATCAAGAATGAGTTTAATTAAATTGGACTAATCGGATCAACATGATTATTAAATTTCTTTATTTTTATAAAAATTTAAATATTTCATAATCATTTAATATCTAATTGCAAATACAATATTATCAAATCCATAAAGCAAATAATATTACAAACTAAATTTTAAAATAAATTTGTTGATTTGTTATATTATTATTAACTCAAATAAGCAACATTAATATAAAATAAATTTAAGTAAATATGTTATATTGTTATAATGTTATCAGTTCAAAAACACAAATTCATTATTGAGCGAAAGTAACAAAAAGTATTATCTTGAGTAAGTGGTAATCCAAACACTAAATTATTATTATTAAATATGACAAGTCGGGTCACAAGTCAAAAATAAAAAATTTGCGACTTAACTCATACAATGTCAGATTATGATTGGGTCTGATGCAAGCACTTAACAGATCCAATGTGAACTCATTGAATCGATTTTTATGTTAGTTTGAATTTGCAAATTACTCATACCCAGTTATAATCCTAATAATTGTAACGACCTGACTTAGTTCATACATTGTACAACACAGCTACTAGGAGTGGAAAATGTCTAATTTAAGACTATGAATATACAAATACGAGAACATGTATTATGTTGCATGCATATAAAGGTAAACAACTCCCTAAATATGTGCACTATAAATACAGTAATCCGATAAATGTAAATTATACATCATAAATTGTTAGTTAAGCAACCACTATTATCTACACAAGTTTACCATCAATTGATAGTCAACAAAATACCCTCCAGCTCGTGTGCCACTGGTTGGCCTCTACAACAACACTGCAGTCCTATCCCTACCATGTTCCCATACCATGTATGATCATCGCAATCCACACCGTATGAAAACACGTAAGGGTAAACTAGAGTAAAAAGAAACAACACACACATACATATACATACATACACAACAGAAGAACACCACATCATCATCTCATCTTTAACACCACAACAACAAGACATCACAATATACAATACAAATCAACGCAACAACTTAAGTTCAACACAATAACAAATTTTAACACAGATTAACACAACACATGAACAACACAATCAACTCAACATATCATATGCTCAATACAACAATTATATGCGTCATCACACATTTTAACTAGGAGATATTTTGCATCACAGGATAAATAATTTAAGTGGCTTGACCCTATCGAACTAACAACACAAGATGATCTTTTTGGGATTGCTAGATCAACAACAAATTAGATTTAAACAACAACTCAATTTTTCATATGTCGCCACTTAAACAAGAAAGCCTAGTAGAATTGTCAAGGTAAAACAATTGGGTTTTGGGCCTATCATGACATTAGCTAGCTTAACCAAATCACCTATGAAATTAGTCCACAAATTATCCTCCAAGTATTATGCCCTTTCGATACTCAATTAGGAACTGAGTTTCCAACTTTGTACTTTACTCAATTGGTCGCTTTATACACACGTGTCTCGACCTTGCCCACAAATAATATCAACAAAGTCTTAAAGGAGACTCAACACAGCTATATGCTTCAATGGTTAAGTTTCCAATAATGGTTTTTTAACAAATTAGATTCTTAGAGCACAACACAATATCCACACGATGAGGTATGTAACTTTCGAAAATCTCTCCTCTAGTCCTAAGTGGTCATCATAGCTCAATAATACAACAACTTTTTACATAACACAACAACGAAATCAACATACAACTCTATATCTTAGAACTCAATCATCACTACTCATATTCAACTTCTTAGTCATCATACACCTCAACAACACATCAACATTATGCATATAAATCTCAACATAACTACAAAACTACAACATACTATTCAACTCAAATTTCAACTAGCAACTCAAAATATAATCACCAACATACAACTTATCAATATTCAACATGTAAATCTCCTTACCATACAACAACATCCGTACAACTTATTTATCATCATTTAACCATAAAACAACTCAAACAACAAGCTTTTAACATACAAGTCATTCATCAAGCAAACAACCAAATCAATTAGAAAAGAAATTTATTTGACTAAGTTCCTACATTCAACACAAAATCTCATGCTAAGTCTCAGCCTTTTAGAGGTACATCTCAACTTTCACACTTAGTGTGAAACTCACGCTCTTAACCTCCATCACACTCAGCATAAAATCTCTCATGCTAAGCCTCAACTTTCCAGAGACACTTCCTAATTCTCACGTTCAATGTGAAACTCACGGTCAATCCCAGAACTCAAATTCTTCAGCATCAATGAAGAGCATCCTAAATCTCCAATTTCTCTCAACTTATGTAATAACCCATACCTGCAACCTCAAACATTCCAATTTTCGCAACATATATCTCATAAATCAAAGGAAAAGCAATATGCATCAACCATAACTTAAGGAAATCATTAACTTTTTAACTTTTCATCAAGAACATCAAAATCTCAATTTTAACATGCAACCTACTTTGAATCCATCTCCACAACTACGAATTTCATAAATTCTATCAACATTATGTTCTTAATTCATTCAACAACCCAACATTTCAACTAAAACCCAAGATTCTAACTTTTCTTACCTCTGATCGAGGTAAAATTAGGGAAGAACTTCGAGCTACTCCAAGGTAGAAGGAAAAAGGAAATGGGCTCTAAGCTCCAACAACTAGAGTTTCACACCTACTGCATAGGATTCTCAACTCCAAATTGCTTTAAATCACCACCAATTACAAAGTCCCAAAGAAAAAGAAAACAGAGTCTTCGAACATGATTCTTCCCTTAAAAATCTTAGAAGAAGAAAGAGAAGTGTTTAGGTCCTCAAAGTTTCTCTCCCCTCTAAGTCATATGTTACAATAACAATCCAATCCAATCATATCATATTTTGACTACCTTATGAGCCCTAAACTTTCACATACTCACGAGTACATATCTTCCATTATTGATGAATCTACATGCCTAATTCACACACAATTGTCTCAACACCGTTTTGTAAATTAAAATGTAACTTATATGGTCAAAGAAATTTATTTATTAAAAATTCAACTATCACTACAAAAAAATTAGGATTTAACGAGGGTTATTTAGCTGGGGTTATCATAACCTCTAGAAATGTATGAAATTATCAAGGGTTTTATTAACCTTAGTTAAGTTTCAGTGGTTTATACTAAAACCCCAAGTAAATAGATGGATTTATTATGAACCCCCGTAACATTTAGATATTTTTTATTTAATTTAATTTATTCATTAAAAATTATGATTCCCACCTTTTTGTTTTTAATTATTTTTCATTTCCCCCCTTTTTTTTTATCAATTCAATCATTTTTCCCAGCCCCTTCAAATCGCGCGTAACCCTATTTTTCCCTTTCTCCCTTTCGTTCTCTTCTCCACTTTCGTTCTCTTCTCCTTCCCTCTCCTCAGCTTCGGCACCGGCACCGCCGCCCGCCTCCTCCTCAATCTCCATCCCGTCGCCGTCCTCCACGTCTGGGAGCTCGACCCCGTCGTCCTCCAGGTCGCCCGCAAGTATTTCAACCGTCGCTGTCCATAAGGAGCGTCTCTTCATCTACGTCGAGAACGCGCTCGACGCCGCTGTTCTCCCAAGCCCATTGTTCAGGCTGCACAACGCTCTACTGTTCAGGACAACTGCTTGCACAACCTTTTGCTGTTCCAAGAACGTTCTACTATTTGTGTAAGATCCTCTCATTTTTTTATTCTTATAAGATTTTTATATATAGCAATTATCATCATGTATATTCCATCTTAGGGAAATTTTATTTGGTCGTGCAACTGAGAGATTTGTGCGGAAGGGAAAATAGGGGGTTTTGTGGGGTTAGGTAATGATTCCCCTGTTCTTTGTTTGAACACTGAATTCTTGCTTTGTTATGGGATGATTAATAGTGTTGGCATTATGATGAGCATGGAGATCTCTATCGCAAGGTATTAGTAACTATCATTATGATGAGCATAGAAACTTAAAAGAGCTTTTTAGAGTGTCTTTATTAAAAATAAAGAGGTTTTTCCATTATAGAAACTATTAAAAACTCTTTTAAATTAGTATCCGAATAGACTGTTAGTGTGTTTAGTTCGACATGTTGAAACATTTGATTTATGTCATACCAAAAGCTATTCTGTTACTTCAGTGTTTTTATTTGATTTGACCAGAAAAATTGAGTGTGCATAGGTTAAAAACACTAGTCCAAACACCCTATAAGCAAATATGATAAACTCTTAATTATGCTATGCAAACATTCCACCCCAAGAGATTGTTTCAAATAATTGCTGCATAATTTTAACCAAGCAATCATTTTACATCAATCTCTTCAATTCACTACATTAGCATGATCGTGTTTAAATGAAAAGAATGATTAGGAGATTAAATTTGGAAATTTCATTAATCTTGCTTGCATTTCTGTCACTTCAAGAGGGTCAACAAAGAAACGAAGCTCTTTCTTTTGTATTATACTCGTTGACTTTGCACGTGGATTATTGCCCTTCTAAAATAGGATATTGCAGTGCTGTTGGATTTGTAGACTGCTAAGCCATCCCACACAACAATCTAAAAAGTAATAAAACTATTTTATATGATGAATGTTCTTGTCCACATTACAATTCCGTGTTTAAAATATGAAAGATTTGATTCTGCAATTTGTACTGCTTTGTTATGGGATGATTAATAGTGTTATGGGATCAAAGTTCAATTTCCTCCACATCTTATGCTTTGATTTCCCATCATATATTATAATAATCAAGATAAAAATAACCATCACAGTTAAGCAATTCAAATGTGCATGTTGAAAGTGTCAATTGCTGAAAAAAGTTGGCTGGGATTTTTATGTTTTTCTATTGCAATGACTAGCTAGTAATTAATTTAGAATATTGGTGGCCTCTTGTTTGATGAAATAGTAAAATAGTCATGTACCAATTTACCATGTTAAACAGTTTTGTGGGGGGGAATATCAACCACCACCCCATTTTGGATGGAGGGAAGAAAGACATGAAAAAAAAATTATGATAAATGATGAAATAAAAAAAATGAAAAAAGAATGTAGTAAAAGATGAATGAAAATATATACCCAATTGCTGTAGTGGAATCTTACGAAAGGTAAGTGATGATATTTAAACAGCTTTTTGAATTAAATATTCTATTCATATTTATTATTTCCATTTATTAAGTACTGTTATCATTCTTTCAATTTAACTAATAGTTTAATTTTAAATCTTAGATATGTAATTATGTTTAATGTTATGAAAGCTAAAATTTTATATTAGATAATAATTTCAATTCAAATACATAATTATATTTAATTAATAAAAATTGCATGTGATTTTTTTTATAATATATATGTATGATATTTACTCTAAAAACCTCTGAAAGGCAGGGCACAACAGCCAAACCTTGATGCGTACTACTAAAAATGTTAGTTACCAATTGGGAAAAATGATAATGAAAGCACTTTTCTACCGCCAACTAAAAAAACTTGTGATATAAACTTTAAAGATGTGGTGGTGTCTTGTCATCCTTTATTTTCATAGACTCTACTCTGTTTTGAATCCAACATTTTGTAAACAAGTTTCTATGATATCCAATATTTTATTATGCTTTTGCAGTAAAACAAAATCTATTTCAATTTGGGTTAATGCTTTTCATCTCGTAGCCACAAATTTAAAGATAACTGCCAATTGTAACTATGAAATAATTATAAAGAAAATGTTCTTAAGAACACCATTGAAGTAAGTTATGTATGCATTTCACTTATTTGTAATTTCAATTATACTCAAACTATGGTTAAGTTTAATTATTTAATAATTTGAAGGCTAAGTTTGAAGTTCACTCTCAAGCTCATGTACAATATGTCTTCAAATCACTTAACACAAAATGGAGTGACCATAGGCAACAATTATGGAACCAAAGGAATGATGGAACACGTACTAGAGATGAATTGATTGCAATGGTTCCAACAGGAATAAATACAGATCATTGGGCTTCTTATGTTGACTATCGTCTAACTTCAAAAATGAAGGTACTATAAACAATTTTTTTTTTATCCTTACTATTTATGCACATGGACTTGTTAATTTTTTTTATCATGAATAGGAAATTTCCCAAAAAAATAAGGATAATAGAAAGAGGCAAGCATTTCCTCACACTGGTGGATCCAAGAGCATTGCAAGAAAGAGACATGAGATGGTAACTTAAAACTTTTAATAATAAAATTATACTTTTTCTTCTAGTGTATATAAAAATATAATTTTGTTACATTTTATAGGAACAAGAGTGTGGTCGTAAAGTTAGTAGAGGAGAAGTATGGATAACAACACATAAACATGCTAATGGAGAATTTGTAAATGATGAAGCAAGAGAAATTAGTGTAAGTGTATTTTGGGTAAATATTATAATGCTCAAACAAGTATATGTCAACTTATATGGTTACTTATATTATAGGAAAAAATTAAAGCATATGAATCAGATGCACCATCATTTTCACAAGACATATCAACTCAAGATTCTCTAGCACATGCTCTAGGAAGTCAAGAACATTGTGGACGTGTTCGAGGGATGGGATTGGGACCTTGCCCATCTCGCTTGTTTGGATACACTAGGCATTCTCATAGTGGGATGGCTTCATCTTCTTCTTATAGACAATTGCAAAATGAGGTTAGTATCTGTTTCTTTTTCTTTCATTGCTATTAATTTTTTGGGACTGAATTAATTCCTTATGAATGGGACATAATTGGTGGTGTTATTCCTAATGCATTGTAATTTTTTTTTATTTGGTTTGACTAAGTCAATTAATTTTTTTAAAACAGGTCACTGCCTTGAAATCACAATTGGATGAACAAAATAAAAAATTTGAGACAATGTTTAACTTTTTTGCGCAAAATTATCAAGGTCAATTGCCCCCCAATATGGCAATGTTTCATCCTTCACCGGTAATTTTTAAAAGTGAAATAACTTTTTTAATATATTTCATATAATTTTCTAAGTTTTAAATTATGATTTACATTTATATTTCAGGTTTCTGATCAAGGAAGCGTACCAACTAATGAAACAAATTCTCAACATGGAGATGAACATATTTGATAGTTGATGATGAGCATACTAATTTGCAGATGATTTTCTTTTATTTTTGGAAATTTGATAGAACATATTGTACTAGTTTGTTTTGAGGAACATATTGTAAGTTTTTATATTTACTATTTTGTAGGATTAATCACACAATACAAGTTTCATACATTGTGCTTGTTTTGTATGTACTTTGTGTTTTGTAGTGAACTAATATAAATTTGTGTTACTTTTATATTTTATATTTTGCATCTTTATTACTTGATTTATTTTATATAATTATATAAAAAAAAGGTTATTATGTAATACTTATCTTGTATAATATTATATGTGCAAGTATAAGAAAATATTCTTTTAAAAATATGTATTATCGAAAAGTATAAGCTAGGAAAAATTTAAATTGTATTAATAGGGGTTGTATAACTCCCAACACATTCCTGGGGTTATAACCCCTGCTAACTTACAGGGGTTACACATGTTATTTAATGAGGGTTATAAACACACATTACTTAACAGAGGTTCGTAATCCTGGTTAATTACTAAGGGTTAAAAATCGCAATTATATAGTTGGAGTTACAAACCCTTGTTACTTCTTGGGGTTTCGAAACCGCAACTACATAGTCAGGGCTACAAACCTTTGTTAATTACTGGGGTTAAAAACCTCAACTAATTAGTTGGGGTTTAAAACCGCCAGGAAATTTGCAATTTCCAGGGGTTTCTAAAAACCGCCGTTAAGATGTTCCTAGGGGTTAAAAACCTCAACTAATTAGTTGGGGTTTAAAACCGCCAAGAAATTTGCAATTTCCAGGGGTTTCTAAAAACCGCCGTTAAGACATTCCCTACGGATGATTTACCGGGAGTTTGTGCAACCCCTGAAAATGTGTTTAGCGGGGGTTATAACCCCGGTTAAATTCAAAATTAACCCCCATTAAATCTTATTTTTTTTGTAGTGTATAATATTACTATCATATATAAAAGTATTTATTTAATATAACTTTTTGTTATATACAATATGAATTTATGATGTGCATTACACAAAATAAAATATTAGTTCTACACAAATTTCTATAGATGTAAGAGACAAAATTTTGTTTAAATAAATTTCTCTATAAATATTAAAGAATAGAAAAATAATAAAGTAAAATAAATTAAATTTTTATATAAAGGGTAAAGTATGTTATTGAACCCTCAATATTTTTTTTTTGTTATTTTAGTTCCTATAAAAATTTAATATATTTTTAGTTCTTACATTTATTAAAAGTGGTGTAGTTTCGATCCTTCATTAGAGACTAAAATGTGTTTAGGAATAAATGTAATGAATAAAAATGTATTAATTTTTTTAGGACTAAAACTAACATTTAAAATATTTTTAAAAATAAAAAGTATATTTTATCCTTATATAAACTAAAATTGACTTACCGAGGACTAAACTTTTGTAAATCCCTTTTAATTTAATTTAAAAAAAAATAATTTTAACTTAATAAAAAATCATAATAAAATTTATTTTTAAATTTTCTTCTTCTATAACTATTTATATAAAAAAGAAATTATTCTAACAAGACCTAATTGCGTAAACTTCACTTTTTATTGTCTTTAATTTCCAACAAGTTCAGGAAGACAAGACTTCTTAATAAGTGATTTATTCTTTTGTTTGAGATTTTTTTTTTCTCGGAGAAGCTGGTAAATTTGCATTCAATCCTTTAACTAAGACTAACTTAGGACTATAACAAATAGTACATACAACATTAGACATGATTTGTTATGAATATCATTATAACTAAAAATGATGAGCTAAAGGTTGGGTCAAGTTAATTAAGTACCATTTACCAATATTTATTTAGAGTAACTTTTTTTCTGAGGCAAAATTAATCCCAAGTTTGTAGTTATATTTTCTAATGATCTAGTTATAAGATAGTGAATTTTAATGTATTACAATATCAAAAAATACATAATGTATACATATCCTTTACATATGCAAATGCTTGAGCTCAACATAAATAAAAAAAATAAAAATAAAAAATAAAAATAAAAAAAAAACTAACGTGTCTAATATGCAATGTAAGAAATAACTAGAGTCGCCCCTAACC